TAACTGGGTATGGTGCAAATTAAAGCAACAGCACACAAATCAGTGCAAGTACACTCTTTTCTTTTTTGTTCTGGCTCTGCAAACTCACAGGCTAACTAGCCATGACTTCTGCACATGTGTGTGTCAGGTGTGGGCCATGCCAAATTATTATAAAACAGGAAGTGGGGATGATTTGAACTTTAGGTTGGGGAAGGACCCTGTATTCTTCCCCCACCTTGCCTCCCCCTCTTCTTACCCATTTCCTTCACCTACATTTTGGGGACTCAAAATGTCTCAGGTGCAGAGAATAATTTCGGAGGAAAACAGGTGCAGTACCTTCCTCCCAACTGCTGCACATGGGCTTTGAACACCTGTATTTGCTTATAGGAATATGGTGTAACTCACATTCTCACATGTGGACATATCCAATTCAGATTTTACATGAGACCAAAAAGCAAACAAGCAAGCTCCTGGATGAACAAGGAAATAATATATATTCTTAGTTACTTTACTTAGGCTTGGCTACAGACTTAATTGCAGTAGGGTATTGAAATGGGTGAGCTGAGCCATAGGTGCTCATGGAGAAGGTGAGTTTTGGAATAGAATTTGATGGAAGCAAAGAAAATAGTAGGATACCTCCCCTTTCTATTTCTACTTTTTGAAAATCAGTTTTGGCATGAGTGTCTATCAACCAATCTAACAATTGCATAGCATTCTGCAGAAGTCCATAATTCAGCTCATTAATCTTTCAAGACTGAATATCGACATCTTAGGAATCAGTGAACTAAAATGGACAGGAATGGGTGAATTTTATTCAGATGACCATCAGGCATACTACTGTGGGCAAGAATCCCTCAGAAGAAATGGAGTACCCTTCATAGTCAATAAAAGGGTAGGAAAAGCAGTACTGGGATACAATCTCCAAAATGACAGAATGATCTCAGTTCGAATCCGAGGCAAACCATTCAACATCACAGTAGTCCAAGTCTATGCCCCAACCACTGGTGCTGAAGAGGCTGAAGTTGACTGGTTCTATGAAGGCCTACAACACCTTCCAGAATTAACACCAAAAATGATGTCCTGATCATCATGAGGGATTGGAATGCTAAAGTAGGAAGCCAAAAGATAACCGGAATAACAGGCAAGTTTGGCCTTGGAGTACAAAACGAAGCAGGGCATAGGCTGGTAGAATTTTGTCAAGAGAATATGATGGTCATAGCAAATACTCTTTTCCAACAACCCAAAAGATGACTCTACACATGGACATCACCAGGCAGTCCACACAGAAATCAGATTGACTATGTGCACTGCAGCCAAGAGATCTCTTCAAGAAAATTGGAGATATGAAGGGAATATTTCATGCAAAGATGGGCATGATAAAGGACCAGAACGGCAGGGACCTAACAGAGGCAGACGAGATTAAGAAGAGGTGGCAAGATTACACAGAAGAACTATACAGGAAAGAGCTTAACAGCCCTGATAACCATGATGGGGTGGTCACTGTTCTATGACAAAAAAAGTTCTGGTCAAGGCTATGGTTTTCCCAGTTGCAATGTATGGCTGTGAAAGTTGGACCATAAGGAAGGCTGAGCATCAAAGAATTGAGGCCTTTGAATTGTGGTGCTGGAGGAGACTCCTGCGAGCCCCTTGGACTGCAAGGTGATCAAACCAGTCAGTCCTAGAGGAGATCAACCCTGACTGCTCTTTAGAAGGCCAGATCCTGA